TGCTGTCATGTTAAACTTATATTAAAGTTTTTCTTCATTACCCATTTAAGCCGTCTCCAGCCATTATTAGATTAATGTTAGATTTAGATGTGGAACGTTATGAACTTGAGCGTCTATATATCTGCTCATAATTTTGAAAACCTAATTTAATTTCAAATGTGCAAAGACTTCCGAATGAAAGTCAAATCTGATAGATATTGTATCCCTATATCCTACTTCCTCGGATATTTCTTCCAACAGGTTAAATATACCGCTACCACTCTATTTGCATCCTAGTTTTATAGTGACATTATCAATTCATTCCTAATTTGTTAAATAACAGATACACCAGCTCGGAGACTATTTTTTCATTTACTCACAAGCCGACGTTTCAATACACAAATTTCAAAACCAATCAAACTTTTCGATACATAAATTTTAAAACCAACCAACGTTTCGATACATACATTTTAAAACCAACCGTCATTTAGATACACATTTTAAAACCAACCGACGTTTCAATACACAGTTTAAAACCAACCAAAGTTTCAATACACAAATCTTATAACCAACCAACCTTTCAATACAGAAATTTTAAACCAATTAACGTTTTGATAGTGAAATGTGTAATAAGGCATCTCCTTGGATAGATACAATAGTTTTTCCAAAGTTGACCCGGCATGACCTGGTGTTTAGGGCGCTCGACTCGCAATCTGAGGGTCGCGGATTCGAATTCCCGTCACACCGAACATGCTCGCCCTTTCAGCTGTGGGGGGGTGTTATAATGTTACAGTCAATCCCACTATATGTTGGTAAAAGGGTAGCCCAAGAGTTGGCGGTGGGTGGTGATGACTAGATGCCTTCCCTCTAGTCTTACACTGCTAAATTAGGAACGGCTAGCGCAGATAGCCCTCGTGTAGCTTTGCGCGAAATCTATAACAAACAATTTTCCCCAGGAAAACAATCATACACAAAGCAGGTCTTCAAAACTCAGTAAACATTTTATAACATCGGACTTTAAAGTGGGTTTTAAATATTTTAAGTTGAAACTTGATTTGAAATGCACAATATGTTATTACATCAATAACATAGTTTAATATTACCTAAAGTGCATGATTATAAACAACTGCATTTAGTAAAAAAAAATTTATAGTTAAGCGAACATTTCTAATATATTTATACTCTGAATCGTGATACTTTAAGTTAGAAATAACGCGACCAGATACATCAAAATATTGTAAGAAAGAAGAATCGAGCATCAACCATTTTGTTGATAGAGAGTTAAAGATCATACAAATGATATACTGTTTTAAATGTAATGCATTTTTATGTATACCAACTATACTCCCTTCAACAGGAGCGTTACAGATGTTTATCGTAATATACATACAGCCTTAGCCAAAATGTTTGCATATTTTGTAATAAATGTGGTCATTATTATGAAGATGGAATACAAATACACTTAGCCCAGTCAAACTGAGAAACGCATATTATATTAAACATTTATATATCTAATTTGTATAATGAGATAGGTTCTATGGATATCATGAGCGATTTATTAGAACAGCAAATAATTTTATTAGACACCTGTAGAAAGATATGTAATTCAGCATTACACATATCCCAACACAGCCTTAGCAAAACACATATAATGACAAAATATAACATCAAACTATTATAAATAGCGCCTGTAATCTTATATTAGTTCATATTTCAACGTTCAGTATTTGGTTGATCCTCCTTGTACTCGAACAACCTCCGCAAGGTGACGTGGCATACTGTCAATGAGGTTGTTGATGTACTTCACCATGATTTCATCTCACCTTATTACTAGAAGGCGCTGCAATTCATTAGCTGATTTAGGGTCATGGATAGCAATTTTCTGTCTCATTTCTGTCCAACAGTTCTCAATGGAATTATAATACTGAGACTTTGATGGCCAATGATCGATATAATCCTGTACAATACGTGCAGTGATTGTCATCCTGGAACACAAAGTTACAATCAAACCTTTTCCTAGCATATGACAGGTATATCGTCTCCATGTGATGCCTATAGGAGGCGCCATTTACGTTTCCTTGGAGGATATGAAAATAGTTTTTCCACCCTAATTAATAACTGCCCAATCATGTACTGCACCACTTCCTGTGTATTTTTAAGGGTAAAACAGTCTTCTCTCATATTTTCTCCAGACAAACGACAAAGACGAATCCTACCATCAGCTTTAACAAGCCGGAAACAGGACTCGTATGAAAAGATGACATGTCGCCAAAGTCCTAACTGTAAGTTGGCATGCTGTCTTGCCCAAGAAACATGGTGACGGCAGTGAATTCTGGTTAATTATCGGTTTGCAGGTAGCCCTTCTTGCAAAATAGCCTTGTTTTGTCAGTCTCCTATTCACCATTCTTCTGAATACTCTGGAATGAATGTGTGTTCATGCCATTCCTGTCGTAAGGTATTGCAAGACGTCTTTCGACCTTGATGTGTTAACCTGACTAAAACACGGTCATCTCGGGAAGTATTTTTTTCGTCGTCTACTAGTAGACTTTCCTGGAACAACGTTTTCTGTAGTCCGATGACGTTTCAAAATTCTGGATATATTTATTTATTTGTAATTAAGCACAAAGCTACACAATGGGCTATCTGTGCTCTGCCCACCATGGCTATCGAAACCCGGATTCTAGCGTTTTAAGTCCGTAGACATACCGCTGTGCTACTGGGGGGGCTGGATATAGTACACTGGTGATAACTTGCTGTTCTGACAATGTCAGTTTGCTTCACACCATTTCTGAACAGTGGAACAGTTTGAGGCCCTATAACTCATGGCACGTGAAGAGGCATGACTCTACACCAAGTATGGAGAAATTGTCTGAAAAAAAGCGTTGATAAGTTTCGAAAAAGACTACATGTTTGTCCGATCATACGCTACCTTCTCTGTTACTACTCGAGCATATACTCAATAACTACTTCATGCATGTAGACAATAACATCAATATAGAACACTATTTAAACATTTTGGCTAAGACTGAATTTATAAAACCATAAACTAAATCGATAAGCCAGCACTGCCCTCATTCACAAAGAGCTTAGAATAAGAAAAATGAGCACCAAATATCACTGGTTCAGATTTCCCAAGAGCCTTTCAATGCCGGATAATCAAATATCAATAGAATACACCATTTATGCAACATGAAGTGTTTAACTATATGCCATCCCAATCCACAAAGCCTATTTTTATACGGTTGTTTAAGAATATCATAATTTTATAGTGTCTGGCTAACCTAAATAGGAAACTAAGAGTTATGAGAAAGCAGTCATGTTAAAGAGCAGAATTGCAACTTTTTAAAGCCTACCTCACCACAAAAGCGAACTTTGTTATATATATATATGAAAAGGTTATTTCAAGAAAGCAAAAAAAATTGTTTACAGACATAGCACGATTGTTTTTTTCACAGAATCTTAACGTTTAACTTATCAAATTATGTATATAAAGGTTATGGCTCTTAGTGTAATTGTGGGAAACATTAAATGTAAGAATGAGAAAAATTTTTGTATATTTACTGTTTTGTTTTATCTTTGTGTGTATTTATGAAATTTTTAACTTGGCCTGATGGTTGGAGAACTCGATTTACAACCTGTGCGTTATAATATGACGGTCAATCCCACTTTTCGTTGATAAAGAGTAGCCTAAAAGTTGGCGGTGGGTAGTGCTAACAAGTTACCTTAACGCCAGTCCAGTGGTGATTAAACTTTTTTATAGCGCCCCTACCCCTTTCTATAAATATGCCTTTTGTTGTTCCCCCCCTCGCAGCTCGTATAACATACTTGTGTATAATGTACACGTCATTTTCACATGTTGATTGTTGTTACTATATTATTTAATAGCAGTAATATTTTTACAGTAGTTTTTAAAACTTCTTTATTTTTAAATTTGTACTTTCAGATATAATTTATATGTTCCTACAGTCATAATTCCGCATCTCGCCGTTTGCGCACCATGGCTCTAGACAATCATTTCTGAATTAGGGACGGCGAAATTCAATAAAAAAACAAACAAACAAACAATTTTCTATCTCGACACACATGTTCACGTGATAAAACTAACTTATACTTCCAATGTTTTGGTTCTATCTTCGTATTTTTCTGTTTGTTTGTTATGGATTTCGCGCAAAGCTACACGAGGGCTATCTGCGCTAGCCGTCCCTAATTTACCAGTGTAAGACTAGAGGGAAGGCAGTTAGTCATCACCACCCACCGCCAACTCTTGGGCTACTCTTTTAATAACGAATAGTGGGATTGACCGTCATATTAGAACGCCTCCGCGGCAGAAAGAGCGAGCATGTTTGGTGTGAGACAGGGATTCGAATTCGCGACCCTCAGATTGCGAGTCGAGTGCCCTAACCACCTGGCCATGCCGGGCCCGTATTATTCTGACCAGTTGATATTCAACGAAAAGCCTCTCGGGCAGTGACAAGTGGGGTTAAAAGATAGCCATCAGATATTATTTGTACATATTCTGGTTTGAAATTCGAAATAAAAAAATTAAGAAGAATGTGAAGTAAAACCAGCAGTATTAATGATTTTTATCACAAATATTAGACTGACTGGATTCTAATGTTTTGTCAGCTTTCACCCTCTAAACCGTAAGTCACATTCATGTATTTTTTTATTCCAGTTATACCTGCTGTAATAGTTTTAATTTGGTCACCTATAAAAGCATGTTTCTCTTCAGATGCCAGTGAGAAGTTTTTTCGTCTCAGGTGAGTAAGAATGGTAGCAGGTTTCACAAAGAAACCTGATTGCAATCTAGTTGATATGAAACGCAGGTTTAAGTTAACAACTATATCCAATTGTAAGCTTTTGCTTTATCGAAGTGCATGTGATATGGTTTTATTGTTTGACGTTTTCGTTGTTATTCAACTTAAACTTCTAAGTTTAGGAGTAGAATGATTTATTCTACATACAACTGCCAAGTTTTCTGTATTTTTTATTAATGAAACTGTGTATGAATGTTTTTGTCTTGTTCGTTTTTTCGTGTAAAAAATATGTGCAAATATTCTAGAGTTTTCCCGCCATCAGAAACAGTTGTATAAAGCCATACCTAATTGACTGACAGATCCTCAACTACACATACATTTTGAACACGTCAGTTTTTCTCATGGTTATTATGCTGTTTTTAGCAGATGAGTGACTCATAGAACGGCTCCAATTGTTGTTGTTTTTTCAAGTACAAACCTTTAGCTCATAGCTCCTTCATCTCTTGACCGATTTGAAATCTAATTAGAATTTTAGACACGGAAGGTCAAACCCTTTCGATTGATATATTTGACCACGCCCAAGGTCTCATAGATTAACAAAAATATAGCCAATAAAAAGGGAAACAAAGGTCTCGTTTGTTTGTTTGTAATTAAGCATAAAGCTACACAATGGGCTATCTGTGCTCTGCCCACCATGGC